TAACAAACCCAAGAAATCAGCCAGGGCGAGCTTGTTGAAAAGTGAACCTGACGTATCACCGAACCTCCCGCAGCCTTCCGCACGCTGCTCCCAACGCTTCAGTGCCTCCCAGGCCTGGAAGACGAGCTTGCAACCCTCGCAGAACTCAGAAGGCCTCTCCGGGCTGACTCCAGCCAGGCTCCCTACGCGCCGTGGTCACTCCTTCCGCCCTTTCTAACCCAGCCTTGCCCTGGCTCTTCCGCCACCCGGACCTGGTCCATCCCAAGTTGGGCTTTGCCGAGACCCACTTCCTATCTCATTCCTGTTCTGCCGGGCCACGCAGGCAGGTCCTCATTAAATCCAATCCACGCCGCTCCTCGTAAGGTGTCACGGTTCAAGTTCACATTTGTGCGAGTGAGGGGTTAAGGTCTGGTTTTCCGCTAACCTGCATGTCAGGAGGGCAGTGACTTATTTTTCTGGAGACTGTAATTCTGAGATCTGCTGCTGCCCCTAACCGTAGCACTGCTCCTAGGATGAGTACTGGGGGCACAGAGTATGTTTAAGCACAGGGTCCACGCAGGCGCTCCAGGGTGGGCTGTTCGTGGACAGTTCAGCCGCGACCCACGGTCTACTGAGCTGCCTGCTGTGCTCCAGCAGCGACATGAAGCCCCAGTGCGGGGCCCAGCGGCTTCCACTTTTCCCAGAGGAGCTTCCGAATTTCTGATAAAGTTCTTTCTTCGTGGGAAGTAACATCTGCCACCACCATTCCCAAGAAGAAGAAAGAAAAGCAAAGCAACAACTGCCAACACTGGCGCTGCGTAAGAACAAGGAAAGTAGGCTCGCACTTTCCTCCTTCGTGGGGGAGATGCTACAGCTGCATTCCTGAATTTGAGGGGGGCGTCCTGCTGGGACCCACATACATATTCTTACTGAAGCTTCTCAGCAAACCTAATTTTCATTTTTTGTACAGGTGAGGAAACAGAGCCATGAGACTCAGAGGGTTTGAGTTTTCCCAGGGTCCCACAGGCAGTAATGCAAAGACTAGATCTGAAGGCACATAATTACTCTCACTCCACAGCAGCACCTTCCCCGCTACCTGTGTGGGCAGAGCACGGCCAGAGCACAGCCTTCGCAGAAATCAGGGGAGCTCTGCACTCGGGCAGAATAGAATCGGTTGTCCCTGTTAGTCTGATGCTTTGAATCAGACTTTACTTGAATTAAGACTTTAATCAGCTGAATAGCCTGCCTTTGGTTTCTTCCCTCTCTGTGACATGTTCCTTTATCACATGTTTCTGAAATACAGATTGGAGGTGGGGGATTTAGCTCAGTGGTGCCACTGCCTGTCTTGCAAGCACAAGGTCCCGAGTTTAATCCCCAGTACCAAAAAACATGTAAAATACAAATTGATCCTGTCTGCACCAGGCTCATGTGACTCCAGTGGCTTGGCATCTCCCTGCTTACAAGAACCCGGTCGGAGGATGTATCTCAGTAGCAGGGCACTTGCCTTGCATGTGCCCGGCCTGGGTGGAATCCCCAGTGCCACAAAACAATGACAACACAAGCAACCGCGCAGCCTGGCACACACAGCCCCGTGACCTGGGCCCTGCTCTGTCCTCATCCCCATCTTCCACTGCCTCCGCCACAGGACTCCTGTGCAGTCTCCTAGCAAGCTAAGCCCTGGCCTCTGCCCTTTCCAGATATGATTCCTCCTTCCTAGCCTCCTTTTCATCCGTGGAAACCAGGTCAAATTGAGGGACAAATAGCGTATAGAGTGAGTTAGTGTCATTTTCTGTGTGGGAGTCTGTGGTACTGGGAATCAACCTAGGGCCTTCCAACTGAGGGCCCATTTTTTATTTTGAGACAGGGACCGGCTAAGTTGTCCAGGATGGATTTGAACTTGTGATGCTCTTGTCTCAGCCTCTCAAAATTCTGGGACTCTAGTTATGTGCTACTACACTTTGCTGAGTATTACTATTATTTCAAAAATAATTCCACAGATAATTAAATTATACAATACTCAACTAAGTCTGGAGAAAAGATTAATTGGAAAGGTCTCAGCCTTTAGTAAATATGTGATTGATAAGGTTTCAGTAGGAGATTCAAGTTCAGTTTCGTATTAGGAGAGCATACTTAGTATCTCCCCTACTGTCTTTTGTTTTCAACAATTCCAAGTCTATCAGAAGGCCTTTGCATTAGTTTCCTCAACATGTAACAAATGCTACTTTGTATATTCATCTCTTCCTGTTTAATTATAAGGATTTGAATTTGCAGCACCAATTAATCAGTAATTAGATAGTACTATACCAGAAGAAATTAAACACATAAAAACAAAAACACAGCTCAGCACAAGGCAGTATCATCTGTATCATTTCATGTAGCATGATTAAAATGCTCCCTGAGAAACATAGCTTAAGAGGGTCATTAGCCATGCATTCCTTTGATGTCATTGTTGACCTCCAATACCAATGGGAAACTTAAAGTTAATCCAGATGGAGAAACACTCTGATTATACTAATGTTTGTTCTTCTTTTCATTCTTCATTGAAAACCTGCTTCATAATACTCAATAGTCTTAATTTTGAGATGGAGTAGTAGGTTTGGCAGTGCAAAATAAATGCATACTTTATAATGTTGTATTCTCTGTTGATCATATTTTTTAAGAAATACATAAACCAGCTTTTGAATTAATTATCAATTAGACTTCTAAAACAAAATGTTCACCTTAGATGTGGAAAAGGGAAGCAAAAAAAGAAGGCACATAAGGGCACATAAGGGAGAGGGAAAGTCATGCCTGCAGCCAGTCCCTCTAGGCATCTGGAGGCCCAGGGGACTCCTCCCTGCAGAGTCCTCCCGCTGTGCCAGCTGCCTGGGCCTTTCAGCCTGGCCCATAAACCTTGTCAGTAAGAAAAAGAAAACTGATAGTTAGAAAAAGAAGTCAGCAAGAAGTCAGCAGCTCCTGTGATTCAGTCTCGGCGGAAATGACAGCAGCACGGCCCCTCTGTGATCCACACAGGCAGGAACTTGTGCCAGCAGAGCCACAGGCCCAGACAGCATCTGTCCAGCAAGGCTTTCTCCTTCTGGGCCCCCAGCTTATTTCTTCCCTCTGTGACCATGACTACATGGGGAAACTGAGACAAAAAAAAACACCCAGAATTACTTCAAGGTGCTTTGCATTCTTGCCTCGGTGCTGTTTTAAGAGGTTTCACTTCTGAGGGAAACTGGCATCACCTCTGCTCCCAAGTGTGGAGCTCTTGTAAAGGGGGACTATTGTAAAACCTTTACATGGTATGCCAAGTGAATGAGCAGGGGTTGTATATGAAATTGTTTTAAAAAGTCCATTGAGAGAATTTCACTCTGCACTCTCAAGCTTGCTTGATGGAAGTGTGTTTAATTTCTGGGTCTCTGAAATGAGTGATTTGTCTTTTGCTGAAACAGTTTGCTAAGAAATAGCATAAAGAGATTTGAGAAGAATTATAGAGGAAAATGTCAAAGAGTCCGGTCTTTTGGTACCTAGGATTGAAAGAGCAGCCTTTGTTGAGTGACTTGGTATTGTGGTGGACACTGGAGAGCCAAGCTGTAATGATTTTTGTAGCTTCATAATGAAACTCAATAACTTCCCAAAATTGAGAACCATTTGATTTTTCCCAGTTTAAGAATTTCTTTCCACCACTATGTTGTGAAGTAGTGCTATGAAGTTTCTAACTTTCAGAGTTCATTGATTTTACAAATTATAGTGTGCACCTGTGAATGAAAGCCACATTTGTCAAAGTGACAATTCATTTGTGGAGATGTTATTAATCTTCTATTGGGCTTCTTCACCTATTCCCTAATTGTAAAATTCTTCTCTCTCAGGAGGTGGTACAATTTGTTTGATGTCAACGTGCTACATAAATTTTTGCCTCTCAACTTTAACTTCTTTACTGAAATAAGTTTAAGCAAACTGATTTCAGTCACCATGATCATTATCTTAAGGACCTTTACTCAGGCCAAAAATGAATGAACCAGAGCAACCTCTTCGCCACAGTGAAGCTCATCCATGGCTCTCATTTATCAAGTTCACTATTCCCATGTCCCATTCTTTGTCTAGTAGGATGGGAAAAGAAAGCAAAAACAAAACTGGAGTCTACACACCCCTAGTCACACTTCTCCTGCCATCTCTCTCATCTCAGTAAATGGCTCTAGCTCAAGACACCCAGCACCCTCCTGAGTTTTAGTTCCTCACTCATCTCCCCGCCCAGAGCCTCAGCTGGCGCAGGTCAGCTGGCACTGCCCCGACCCCGGCCCAAGACACTGCTCCTCTCTCTTCTCCACACTCCTCGTGGGTATCTCCAAACTGGCTGCCCTTTTCTCTTCTGCATTTCCTAGGATCCATTGTCCGTGTGGCAGCTCAGGATTATGTTATACAGATCCATCATACTATGTCACTAGACCTGCTGAAAGCCTTCCTGTTACTTTCCATTCCACTCAGAATAATAATGAAACGACTCGGCCACAGGACTCCTTGTGTCCAGCCCTGCACTGCTCTACCTTTCTCACTGTCGTTCCCTCTTCAGATAGCCCACGTGCATTTCTGCTGCCTCACCCTCTGTGTGGGCTGCTGCTGCTGCTGTTTGGAGCACACTTCCCACACCTGAGGACCAGCTCTCCTGCCTTCACTCTTTACCTCAGATGTCACCTCCCCAGAACGACGTTTCCTGGCTCCCTGAAGTGCAGCCCCCCACGGTCGCTGACATGTCCCCCTGTGTGTGCCCTTCATCAAGAAGCTCATCTGCATGGTGTCTTGCCCATCAGCACACTCAGTAATAGTGGTTAGGAGAACGGTGAATGAGGGAATCCTTTTCCTGATGTGGATGGCTTTGATGGAACAACTGGCCCTCTTCACTTCAGGTTCCTCTTCTATAAAACAAAGCCAGCAGAGCATTAGATCTTGATGGGGAGGAGTTAAGCAAATGCGTGGTGGCATATGGTACCTTCCTCTGCCCGTAGTGAGCATGGTTAACAGTGCTTCTTCCTCTTTTACAGAAAGTCTTCAGAGGAACTAGACATGGACAAGGTGACAGCAGCAATGGTACTAACCAGCTTGTCAACCAGCCCATTGGTTCGAAGCCCTCCTGTGCGGCCAAATGGTAAATGTGCGGTTTGGGCGTGGGAAGGGCCCTTGACGCCAAGAACAGGGCCTCTCTTTGAGCCTGGGGAGCCTCATTCCTGTCAGTTAACCTTGAAGCAGGGGGAGTGTGGGAGAAGTGGAGGCACCAAGGCTATCAGCCTCCTCTGGATCTTTCCAGATCTGTGTCTTATGCACCTGTTCAGTTCACAGTTATTGAGTTCTGCCAGTTGTTTTCTGCCTTGCAGATCCTTGCAGTGTTTATATTCCTTTTTGCTGAGTAAATGGAAATTGGCCCGATGACGTTATTTTCCCTATCCTTTTTACAGTGGTTGGGGCGGGGGTGATTGGATCAAAGAACTCGCTAAGAGTAAAACTTTGTTTTAAAAGCGTTAGTCCAGGCTCCCTAATCAAGTAGAATTATTTAGTCCATTCATTAATTTAGTATACATAGATAGATATAGATATATTTAGTGGGTATCATACACCCAGGTAGTGCACATCCCCAAGACAGTACCTGACACCTACGACGTAAAGGAGAGAGGTTCACTGTGCTCACATTCTCAGTGCACAGTCACCGGCTTCAAGGCAGGAAAGCTGTGGCGGAAAGCAGAGGAGAGCTGTTCTTGTCTTAGTGTCCAAGAAGCAGAGAGAGGGGGGAAGGAGGCCCGGAGGGAGGTACACCCTGACTCCGGGATACCTGGCACCCCACGTCCTAACAGCACGTTCAGCTCTGACCCATCTATGGCCGATGCACAGATGACAGCGGGGCGTGATCCAGTCACCTTCCAAGAGCCTCACTTCTGAACGCGGAGGCCTCTGGGTGATATTCTAGATCTAAACTGAACCATTCTATTTGAGAAAAAAAAGACGATCGGTCATGGTCATATCACTAGCTAGCACTTGTTGAACTATTTGACAAGTACTATGCCTGCTTTATTGAAGTATTTCCCCCAATAACTTTCTAAGAGGTCATCATTACATTACAGATGAACAAACTGAGGTGCATAGGAATTAACTGACTTATAAGTGGCAGAGCTGAAATTCCAGTCCATATCTTTCTGGTTCCATATCTGCTCTCTTCATCATGATATAACAGTGCTTCATATAACTCAGTCTGGTAAATCAAGAGAGCGGGCAGTGGGAGCTGATGTTGGACAGATAAAGCAGGAGCTTTACCATGATGGGCCTGTATTCCTGGCTGTGAGTGTAGACTTTATTCTGAGACCATGAGAGAGCTGTTAAGATGATCAAGTAGCAGAAAGTTAGTACAGTATTAGAGTCACAGGCAGACTAAACAAACCAAAGCCCCATGATGGCCTGATTTGGTGGTCGCTGTGAGGCTATGTAGACACAAGTGAGAAAGGTGAAGATGGTAGAAGCAGCGGAGCCTGGTGATGGACGAAGAGGATGAAGGAGAAAGGGTGTGTGAAGGCTAAGTCCCAGGCAGTTGGTGTACCTCAGCAAGGTTCAGGGAACGAAGGCAGAGGAACAGATGTGCTGGGAAATATTGGGGCACTGAATGAGATTTACCAGAAATGGGAAACCTTTTCTCCAACACTAGAATAGTCCATCATGCCCAGCTGCGTGATGGTTCACACACAATCTGGTTGAAGGTATGAAGAATTAGAATAAGTTTGTACAATATCCAATGAGTCCTCATCTGAACCTGCTCCAACCCCATTCGATGTGGAAAGATCAATCAAGATGCTAGGAATTTAAATCAGTGTCAGTAATCAGCAGTGCCCAGCATCTTGATGCCCTCTGAGCTGTGGTGCTGTTCCCCTGCCATCCCCAGCCCCAGTGAAGCTCAGGTTCCTTGCAGTGAGGCTGCCGTGGGCAGTGGCCAAACACTCTCCACTGCTTGGCAAGGGGCGTCCAGCTTTACCTTTCTCAGTGTGGCAGCACTGCTAAGGAGTACAGTAAAAGAGTACAGTAAAACCAAACCGTATTCTAGGAAAAGGTGGACTTGTTAGAGGAAGAAAAAGATATTTTAAATTCAGCTAATAATTATTTTTACCACTGGATTCTTTTTTTCTAATTGACAACCTTTTTAATGTTCTTTTGTATTTAAAGGTTAGAATTAAAATAAAATTTAATCTTTCAATGCAAACTTTTGTTTGCATAGTAATAGAGTAATTCAGTATTCATTTCTGGTTTAAAAAAAAATAACTACTCAACTAATAACCCCAAATTGTCTAATACCTCCTTTCGTCTACAATAGGAAACAAATTTTTAAATACCGAAAGCAGTTATGACAACGAAGTATTCATATTTCAGGGGTAAAATGACTTACACCGGTGCATCGTAGAAACTGTCGTGATCCCTTTCCATGCCTGACAAGGCTTCTTCCCTCAGGAGGGGCTGCCGAGAGCAGGGGCCTGCAGCACCTCTCTGCACACTTGGGGACTACTTATATAAGATAAGCAGGCGCTGTACCCAAAGAACTGCTACAAATCAGTCCTAACTTTTTCCTGGAAATTTCATTTTTATATTTCACTTTGTTCTTCAGAGTAAATAGTGTCTCAAGAAACACCATTCACAAATTGGGAGGCGAATCCACTTTTGACGCTGCTGTGCAGCGATGATTCTCAAAGTAAAGTCATGTCCTCCTCTGTAACGCGATCACCTTGCTAGCCTCACACAGTTGATTCTGTTGTATCACCGCATGCCAAGGTCGTGTAAGCCTCCCGGGCCTGCAGACAGAGATTTTCCCACTAGGGAACAGCTCGCATGGCCTTGGCCTCAGCCTCAGCCTCAGCCTCAGCCTCAGCCTCCCATGAGGCCTCGCTGGAAGTCCTGTGGTACTAACCAGGGCCTCCTTGTTTCTCAGAGGCGGCTCCCCTCCTGTGGAGGGCAGTCTGTGGGCAGAGGGAGGGAGATGCTAACGAGGCCCTGGGCGCTGGTAAGGTCTGAGCCTGTGTAAACATCCGCTTGATTCTGGCAGGACCTCACTGTGATGAATGGGTAACTTCTGATTCCATTGAAAGCTTCACACCTTTAAACTTTTGTTTCACCTAGTTGAGGAGCACACTGGAAATCTATAATTAGGGAAGATAGTTAGAAAATTTCCCCATGAATGCTAGCCTTCACTTCGTTGTTAATTACACAGACCTTGACAGTATTTTTTTAATGAGGTATTTTGGGACTTTTTTCTTCCTTGTAGTTAGAATAACTTTTTAATGTATTCCAAATGCACATAAATATGGAGGAGAAATTATCCAGAAGGAAAGTTGAATTTATACAAATGCTAATTAAATGTGGGAATCAAGGTAAAGCAAATCTTCAGTGATTAAAAGATACTGCCTCCAAGACATTCTAACTAGACAAAAATCTCTCCACATTAGCAAACGTTTCCCATAATGTTTTCCACCTCAAGTAGAAAGGTAAGACTGAACACCAATCTAATCAGTAATTATTGCTGATAAATTCTTAACTGATCTCAGCGTTGCCTGAAAGAAAAGAAAAGTTCTCGTCATAGGGTCTCTGGTCGCTTACCAGTCACCTGGCAAGATATTTGACTTCTGTGGCTTCGGGGTGCTGGTCTGTTCGGGGGTGGTAGTCTTTACTCGGTGGGAAGGAGGTCGCACCAGTGTTTGGGACTGCCTGAGGAGCAAGGCTGGATGTAGGCCCTTTAGTTGTTGTAGTAAGTAGCTTGGAAAATGGCTTTTGATAACTATCCTGAAAGTATTATTTCTCTTAGAGTATCAAATCCTTCGTTCTTATACATATATTCCAAAAATCAAGTCGTTCCTATTTTTAAAAGTTGAAGTTAGGATCTGGAGGGAGAACAACACCCAGTGACCAAATCATCTGGGAGAAGACTGCAAATAATAACATCGCTCTCAGAAACCCTGCGGTCAGTAACCGCAGAGCCCCTGGACCTTCTGACCAAGAGAATCGACTTGTTACAATCTTCACACCTGTTCCTGCACGGTAGCACACACAGTAGTAGAGCGCTCTTAGAAAACCCTGTCGCGGCGTGCTTAAAAGAAATGAAATGCTTATGCCCTGTAGTGTGATCGGGGAGGGACTTGTGCCTAGGATAAAAATGTACACATTTGTTCAGCTGTTGCAAGGTGCTGAGTGGGACGCAGGGGCCCCTCTAGCGGGACCTGACGCTGTATCTTCGTGCACGCAGAGGGCCTCAGCGGGTCCTGGAAGGAGGCCGGGTGCGTGCCGTCCAGTACGAGCAGCAGCGGCTACTGGAGCTGGAGCGCTCCGAGCGACCAGTCCAACCCGTCCACGCCGTCGCCGCCGCTGTCCGCCGACAGCTTCAAGCCTTTCCGCAGCCCTGCGCAGCCAGATGACGGCATTGATGAGGCGGAGGCTGGCAACCTGCTCTTCGACGAGCCCATTCCCAGGAAGAGAAAGGTGGGTGTGCGCGCGCCGCCCCAGTGCCCCATCCCTGTAACAGTCCTGGAAGTTCCCGAACTGTCTGGATTAAAGACATAGAAATAATGAAAATACTGGTAAGTCTCATCCCCATCCACAACACATTACCCATCTAGGCCTTCCCAATGAGACTTAATTTTTTATATGTAAAATAGTATGTTTTTCTCTTATCTGCTTCAATCAGCTCTGAAGGGTTATTGGGAAATATTTTGTATCTCATTCTTATACAGCCAGCTGTGAAGTATACATGAAAGCTGACACATAAACATATGTACATACTTACGTACAGAAAATTAAAAATTGCAAAGGAAGATTGGTTGATTTTTAAAATTCACTAATTACACTTCATTTAGTCCTGACTACAGTCCTGTATGGAACGCATCATACAGAAATCAAGGGTGCATTTAACTGACCCCACCACCCAAAGCCACGTTTTCCTGAACCTAAAAGGCTCATATTATTTTCATTCTCTTCAAGTACTTTGATTTTTTTTATCCTCACTGGCAGTTTTTAAACAGCAAACTCAATAAAAAGAAAGAAGAAAAGCATTTCTGTTCCCTGTAATGAAACAATAGTACCACTAAATCTAGAGAAAAATGGATGTCAAAATTATTGTGTAAAGATTAAACTGTAGATTATATGCTGGCCTTTACCTTTTGTATTGGCAGTGTCACTATTCATGACTTGGAAATATTCAAAGCCAAGCCTTGCAGGGTGCAGTGCAACCTTTTTCTCCCTAACTTGTTTTGGGAAGGAAGATCAAGTTAGGGCATTGATCTCACCTCTTCCCCCTCGCCCCTCTGAGCATTGCCCAGCGTGTACAGCAGTGGAGGTGGTACAGCTGCCGTTCTCAGGTCCGCTCATGTGAATAACCGTAAGCCGGTTTGTTCTTGCCTGGAGGACAGGGCATTAGTGCAGCCTCTTATCCTTCCCAGAGGCAGCTAAAGAGTTGTGTCCATCAGGCTGGCGGCATTGCTCTGACATCCTGTGAGTCCTGAGGACCCTGGACCTTGCCTGACCAGTCAGGATGGGCGCTGGCCCTCGCATGGGTGTGTTCCTGCAGCAGGCCAGCACGCTGGACCTGAAGTCTCCTCTCGGCTTGCGGCTGCCCCGGTTTCTCCGTTGTGTTGTGTGAATGTATAGTTCTGACTCTCCCCAGTGGGTCCAGCAGTGTGGTGAGGCCACGCAGCACAGCAAACCACCAGTGATTTCGAGGTGGAAGCCTCATGTGAACTTAATCTCATGCGGCTGTGGAGCAAAGCTCATAGTCTTGCATCGCGGTTAGGTCACATTGGTCAGACTTGTATTGAATGGCTTCAGGCTTCAGTGAAGGTAGGGAATGGGTCACCAAAGGAAAAGGAAAAAAAGCATCCTACAGAATGACCTCAGGTGAGGGGACAGGCTGACTCAGCAAGGTGCTGGGGAGTAGGTGTGCATGATGAGCAAGCTAGAACCCTGCATAGAAGCTAGAACCGTCTTCGTGACTTCTCCCCCAGTTCAGACATGCATTTCCCAGGGTGGCACTGGCAGGGTGAAGCCCAGAGCCACTGAGTATTGTACAGATTTTACATACATTATCACTTTGGTCCTTTGAACTTAAAACTACCCTGAATAAATAAAATAGAACTGTTGCTATTCTCTTTTTTTATTTATCTAGTAACCCAATACTTACTAAGCACCTGCCAGACAAAACGCTTAATGCTCTGAGAATAAGGAATAGCCCCAAGCCTTAAATGATGAAACCGGAGTGGGTAGATTGATGTGTAAAGAAGCGGTCATCATTGTGAGCGATGCACACTGTCTCCAAGATGGGGTAGAACGCGGTAACTCTATTAGTTACTTAAGAGATTTTAAGTCGTGTTAAAAGATTTGTAAGAGTTAATTTGCCTGCACTAGAGAATATTTTCTAGCTGGTGGAGCTTTCTGAGTTTGTCTTATTTTCATATTCGTTCTCTTAGACACATGGTATCCATGCACTAAACCAGACTAATTGTAATGATAGTGCGTCTTATGGAGATTGAGAACTTTCTAGATCATGTTCTTCCAAACTGCAAATCTTAATCCATTCTTGTGTTGTGAATCAATTTAATGAACAGTGCTGTTTAATTAATAGGACAGAATAGAATGTACTGCACTTAAGGGTAAGCATTGTCTCTTGATGTTTTCATTTCAGTTGTATATTTATGTATACTGTGCAAAATGTGTCTCTTGTGGAGGCCTATTGTCAAAAAGGTTTGGAAGCCCTGTGTTCTAAAGAGATGATAATATATGATAAATGAAGGTGCCCTGATCAGAAATCAAAACATCCATATTCTAAACTCAACTCTGTGATCCTCAGGATGCAAGAAATCATGTCATAGCCAGGTGTAGCTGTGGACACCTGTAATTGAAGCACTCTGGGAGGATGAGGCAGCAAGGTTGCAAGTGTGAAGTCAGCCTGGGCAACTTAGCAACTTAGACCCTTATCAAAGTTTAAAAAAGAAAAATAAAACAAAAAAGAGCTGGGGATGGAGTACAGTTTGAAAGTACTGGCTCAATACCCAGTGTGAAAAGAGGAGAGAGGAAGTGGGGAGGATTTCACCTTTTTGACCATCAGCCTCTCCCTCACCTCTTAGGACAATCACAAAGGTTAAATGTGATCCTGTGTACTAGAAGTAACAACATTGTTTTAATCTCATTGAGTTTATTGGTCCATTTTAGGGATACAGTACAGTTACATTCATCACTGGGATCTTGCACCTTTACACGACAGATCTTGGTTCTCATTTTTCCCCACACCCCTGCCCTCCCTTCACCCCCTCCACCTTCCCCTGTTTACACTTTGTTTCCATTTTTTCCTTTTCTCATATTTTTTCTTGTCCCTTGTTTCCTTTCCCCTACCCTTCCCACTTCCCCTGCGCCTTTAGCCCTTTTCTTCCTATTTCATGACTGTAACAACATTTTAATGGGTATTTTAGGTCTTCTGAACCAGGTGGGTGGAAGCACTCCTGTGCCTGCATGTGCTGTCTTCTCCTCTCCCCACAAACAAATGCTCACTACCACCTCTCCTGCAGATCTGTGTTCCACTTGTGCAAAGAAGTCAGGAGAGTGAGCTGCATCTTGCAGACAAGGCATTATCTCTTTGGTGGTGTTGTTTTGGTACCCGTGATCAAACTCGGGACCTTGGGCTTGCAAGGCAGGCGGTGGAACCACTGAGCTAAATCCCCAGCCCAAAACATTATCTCTTATATGGGTGGTGAGGAAGAAATATTTCCTGATAATCACTGTATTTTGCGTGTTTAGTTATAGGGGAAATGCTTTTAACTGCAGCATTTCATTTCATCACCCCAAACCTTTGGTATACCCTTATCCTGTTTTCCAGAAGTTCACTGAGATTATGGGAATTGTCCGAGGTTGTGTAGCTTTTATAATGTAGTGAGAACAATATTGGCTTAGCTAAAAAAACGAAAACGAATTTTGAAGCAAATTAATTCAAAGAATCCACATTTCCCTCTGTCCAAAGAGGAGAATAACAGAGGGAAAATAATGAGACACAGCCACAGCCAACATTACAATGCAAAATGGGAGCGGGGTGCAGAAAACTCAGCAAAAAAAATTTTTTTTGAGGGTAGAGAGGGGAATCAAGCAGCCTACTTGGGAGCTGAGCTGCAGGAAGCATCTGTCCCTCACAAGATAGGCCTGCAGCCCGGGTGGGTGAGAATGCGTGACGGGAAACGAAGGCTGCTCCCTCCTGGCTCCACAGGTCAGCCAGTCACGTGTGTCGAGGCCAGTTCTGGCAGAATTTTTCCATTGTGATTCCAGAAGGACACACAACTTCGGCACACAGAGAAAACTGGCAGAAGCCAGGAATTCGGACTTTAGGGAGGTGCAGTCCCTGTTCTGACCACAAGGTGATGCAGTGGCCCTAAATTCTCAGATGCTCCGGGAGAAAACATACGCCATGGAAGACCAAGAGTTAACTGTCCATTCCACTGGACCTCCGGAACACCAGAAGTGCTGATGAGTGATTATTCATGTGTTCTTTGCCATGCCACGTTCCCTATTTCGTTAGATCCCAGGTTCTGTGCACTGTGAAATTGGTATGCCAGCTCAAATATTTACGTGACCTTAAGCAAATCACCTGACCTCTTGGGCTCAGCTTCCTCATCTCTAAACCGCACAGAATGTTGGCACCGTTATCAATGGGGCTGCTGTGAAGATTATGGGAAGAGCTGTAGACATCAGCCACTGTGACTGTGGTTGCCTTTTTCCCATTTGACACCTGGTGGAATGGGAAATCCTCCGTCCTAATCCCACATCGACTACCTGAGAGCCCCTCCCCAACGCGTGCTAAGTGAGAGCAGCAACCTTGGAGACAGGATTTGCAGGTCTACATGGAAACCTGACTCAGGACCCTGCGATTCAGAGCATCAGCAGTATGAGCCTTCGTCAGTCTCATCTCCTTCCCAGGAGTCGTGACCATGAACAAGTTCCCCCTTGCACTGGGGCGAATCTCCAGTCAGAGTAGGAAGTGCTGGGTTAACACGGTGCTCTGGTAATAGCTGCAGGGTGTCAACAATGGACTCGTGCTTTGCTGTGCTGTGCGTTTTCTATCTGTCGGAACCAAACAGCAGTGAATCACTGAATTGTGGATGACTGCTACAAAAAGAAAAACCCATAAAGCCCTCATGCACAAGTATGTTGCCAGTCTGTCCGCTGAGCTAATTCCTGACCTATAATTTTGAGTGAAGAGTGCGTCCTGTAAGGATCGCTGCTCCAGAAATAGACCAACTGTCAAAGTGCTGGGGAAGGCGGAGCTCGGTCAAGCAGCTCTGGGTCAGCTGAGATTTCTCTGGGTGACACCACCATCAGCCAGGGCAGGAGAGCTGACGCCCCATGGAGAGAGCAAAGAAGTGGGGATCGAGGCAGTTCAGTGACAGGGCCTTAGAATAACCAGCCACACAGTGTGTAGGATTGGGGCATTGGAGTTGCAAGGACTTTGGACATCATCTAGTCCGGTCTCAACCTTTCTCCATAGTAAAGGACTACCCAGATGCATCTGGAAATGAGCAGGTACCCCAAGGAGAGGCGTATGTCTACAGCCGATTGAGAAAATAGAGAATAACTAGGGATTCCTATTGTTCAGAAATTCATTTGTCATTACAGAAATCATTGTGCATCCGTCTTCCTTAGGTATCACTTTCACAAGATGAAATGAGCCCATCTTTAGCACGCAGTTCGGTGAGTTTTGACTGATGCCTCTACCTCTACCTGAATAACCACCGCTCTGACAAAGGCCACCTCTCTCTGTGCACCTTTTGGCAGCCAAGCGTACCTCTAGCCACCAACTGATCTGTCCTCTGTCACTACAGATTAATGTCACGGGTTGAAGAACTTCATGTAAATGAAATCATACAGTGTATCTGTTTGGGGTACAAAATACCAAGTGTAGGAAGCAGGAACTCTCATTTATTGCCGGTAGAAATGTAAAATGGTATCACTACTTTGTAAAGCAGCTTGGCTGTTTCTGACAAAGTTAAATATACACTTACCATGTGACCCAGCAATTCCACTCTTGGGTATGTATTTACCTAAGAGATAAGAAAACATGTCTGCAAAAAAGATTTGTAGACAAATGTTCATAGCAGCTTTATTCATTATCACCCTGAACTGGAAACACCCCAAATGTCCATTAGCAGACACATGGATAAGGAAATCGCAGTGTATTCATACAGTGGAGTGCCACACTACAGTAAGGGGGCAAACTGCTGGTCCGAGAAACAGCAAACAATCTAACAAGCATTACACAGTGGGGGAAAAGGCAGAAACAAAAGAACACATTCTGTGTTTTTCCATTTACAGAACTTTTTTTTTTTTTTTTTTTTGTACCAGGCATCGAACTCAGGGCCTTGCACTTGCAAGGCAGGCAGTAGAACCACTGAGCTAAATCCCCAGCCCCTACAGAACTCTTCTTTGATCATTTTTTACTTACTCATCACCACAGCAGCAATCAATAGTGCATGGGAAATGTTTGGTACATTTGCATTCGTTCTTTCCATTAACTTCGCACACCTTCAACATCCAAAACTAGTCATCTCATTTACTCCTTTTATTTTACAAGTAAAAGGGGAAAACTCACAGAGGGAAAGTGATATGTATAAGGCTGCTTTCCCAAATAAGGAAGAGCTGAAACCCACACCAGCTTCTGGGTAGTTACTAACTTTTAAATACCAGGGTACATTTGTCAGTCTTTTGGGGGGCTAAGGTTCTGCATGGAAGTCTGAACCACGAAAGAGCAATTGGAGACCCTGGCGAGAGGACAGGTCCCTACGAGTCAGGTCAGAAGTATGTGTAATGTGCACAGTAAGTGGGCCCTCTCCATCCCTTGGGATGCTGGTCCGCTCTGCAGAAACTCAGATATAGAAGCCTCCACCCTCCACACCAAAGTGCGCGCACACACACACACACACACACACACACACACGCTATCTCGTGCTAGAAATACATACCTGGAGGTCTCAGTTGCCTCCAAAAGGCAATCTGATAGTAACACCAGGCTGCTTGTGTGGTAAAGTGATGTTCCTGAACCTTCTGGAATAGTAGCAGTAGCTGTCATTGACCTTATCGCTAACCGTGCCACATGATACTTCAAAATCAATGCACGTTTCTCCTTCTGGATCTTCAGCGGTCATCTTGTTGGTCCTGTGTATCAGTCTGGATTCTATCGGGAAAGTAGACGCTATTCCATATATCCCAAGCATGAAGTAATTTAAAAATAGGATGGAGGCTGTGCATGGTGGCGCACACCTGTAATCCTAGCACTTGAGAGACTGAGGTAGGAGGATCACTGCAAGTTCTAGGCCAGCCTGGGCTACATAGTGAGTTTAAAGACAGCCTGAACTACATAGTAAGACACTGTCTCAAACAAACAAACAAAAAAGAAATAGGATTGAGGCTGACTGGCCAGTAGAAGGACAAGTAGAGAAAAGATCTGGGAGATTTTGTTCAAAGATCTTAGCTTTCAGGACCACTCACTCAGCCTCTAAGACAGCCCCGGTGCTGCAAAGTAAGAACTTTCTAGGAAATTCTCTGTAACTGTCACAGCCAGGGCACCAGGATTGGAGGCTTCAAATAGCTGGTCTGCGAGCTTCTGCGCCTCTCGCATCAGGCACGTGTGAGTCTCCAGGAGTGTTTTCTGTTGCCTTGTGGGGTTGTGACTGTTAAATAAGGTGACGTGTGGAAGATTCGAGCATAGACCAGGCACATAGTGGTTCCCAGGCGGCGGTGGCCCATCTCCCCTTCCTCGGTGCTCTCAGCTGCTTAGCGTAAAGGGGGCCATGCTGCTCGACTTCAGCTGACTTTGTCTTAGTGTTGCGCAGAAGTGCTTTCCATTCGGGTGAATTTTCAGCTGTTGCTCCCTGCGTGTGTGGACGTTCCAGCTCTGAGAACATCTGTTGGAGCCACGAGGAGCAGCCAGGCTTGGAGCACAGATGAGCCGTTCATACTTGGCCGCTGTGACTCTGCCAGCAGCCGTGCTTGCTTTGGCTTCCTTGGGTGAGCTTGGACCCGCGCACCGATCTGGGCGGTGTTTATTTAGCTATTTTTGCTGTTCCCCTCCTCCCGTGGCATGCTGCAGTGTAACAGCGAGTAGTCTGTTTGTAGACAAAGGATTGGTTTCACCTAGGTGTAGTGAGGGGACTTTGAAAAGTGCTCCACTGCTGTTTAAGGAGCTTCATGCCTTGAAGGAAGAACACCCTTGACTTACATAAAGAGAAGCCACTTTATTTCATTCAAGTTGAGAAATCACACTAGTATGCTTTGTTCTTCCCAATCACGAGATGTGATCAAATACCATGAATATTTAAATAAAATGTTTATTACAGTAAAAGACACACTGCCATTCATCGCTCTGAAAATACTCCCCGTGGCTCCACACCCACTTGTCTCATGGTTCTTGCCCATTTCTGAAGCAGTTCTGGAATTTCTCTACTGTGAGTGTCTCTTGTTGGCAGCCTCAAGGATATCCTGAATTGATCTAAAATGTTTATGACAAGTTTCATCAAATAAATACATTCCAGTGTGTCCTCACCCGCCTCACTCACTGGGTCTGACACTGTGTGACTTAGGGTTCCTTCCCCAAATTCAAAATGACCATAAAAGGGAAACGTTTTGAATCAATTCAGGACCTTGAGGCAGCCATGACAGCACAACTAAAGAGACGGAAGTGGACTTCTAGAACTGCTTCAGAAACTGACAGAAATGATGGCTAAGTGTGTTCAAAGTGAGGGAGAGGATTTGGAAAGAATTAATGGTAGTGTGTCTTCTACTGTAATATTTTTAATTTAAACATTCACTTTATTATTTGATCAAATATAGTCAAATATTCAAATCAGTATTTTTTTAAATGATGTTTTAAAAATTGAAAACAGGACAATTTTTTAAGTCAGAAGTTAACATAAAAATAAGATGTCCCCACCCAATAGTCCCCTCATTTTACTTTATTATTTATTCCCTCTCCAAAATAATGCTATTCATGCTTTTCTGTAACCCGCTTTCCCTTGTATCAGTTAGACCCGGGCACGCCCAGAGTACTGGGAGAAGTCCGGTGAAGACCCGTACGAAAGTGGTCTGGGACCTTGGGGAGCAGCCAGGCACAGCCATTACCACTCCTAAGCCCATAGAGCCAAGAGAGGTTTCCAGAACCCAGAGGATTACAAGAACTCTAGAAATTCAGCTGGGGGAGAGAAGTGGCAGGTTTGGTAAGAGAAATGTAGTCACCACACGCAGCTGCAGCCGGGCGGAGAGGGAGTGAGGGGGTGGGAACCTCCCGTTCCCGTCTCTTGTGCCTCCCTGCATCCGTCTGGTGGGCCCTATTGACTTCGTCCAACAAGAACCCTGTGGGCCCTTTGGCTGACGTACATCAAGATCAGCTTCCTGGGACTCTGGGCAGGGTGCACAAAGGAGCAGAGGGCCTCCAGGGTTGAATTGAGCAGACCAGCGATTCCCTTGATGGGTGACAACTTTTCACATCCAAGAAGCTTTACTTACAACTTCATTGAGATTGCTTAATATTCAGTTATGTGAAATTAATTTAACCAACCCCCCATTGCCCACCTTAAGGCTACTTCTAATTTTTCTCAAGACGAAAAATCAGTGTAATGAACATTTATTTATTTATAAATGGGGGGGAACCACCAAAGAATGCATACATTAGGAAAGGAAAAACTTGTATAAATACTTTAAAACTAATTTTATTGAGACATCATGAGAATAATAAAAATTAACTTTGGCCTCTACAGTTACAAGAGGTGCTCCAAGTGGTGGCCATTAGCTTTCAGACATTTATTACTAAGACAAACTACTGAAATGTGTACACGTTTTTGTTAGACTATATATATATGCAGGCATTTTGAGTTATTTTCTTTGGCTGTATCCCTAAAAAGTGAGGGTCAGAGTTATAGGCAGTTCTGAAGCTTTTAATTTGTTCTTCCCTCCAGATTTAGAGATGACGTACTGCATGTGAGTAAACTAACCTCTGACAGATTCGGGTGATAAATGTGAGTTGTTCAAAAGGAAGAGGTAAGGAAGAGGTAGAGGAGAAAGCAGAGCTACCCCTCTGGAAGGGTTTTGGGAGTGCCTCTCTCCCAAAACTGTGCAGGGTCTTTCTACTCTATGTAATTATGTTTCTGAGTTCACATTTGCATAAGCCTTGCAAATCAGCAGGAGTTTGCTCTAGCTATAGCTCTAGAATGCCATGCTGTGTTAATGACACAAGTAATTATAAGTTAAACAGCATTTTTTTCCTGTAATATATTTTCTCTTCTCATCTGGTAGACTTAGGCCTTCCTCATATAGCTGACAGTGCAGGGAGTGTAACATTGAAGAGCAAATTATGCTACATTAAAAAGAATGTTGTCTATAATCCAACCCTCAACACACAAGGCATGAGCAGAGGCATCCCAGTGAAGTTCATTTTCAGCTAGGTAAGGTGAGCAGTATTAACTGTGTTGAGAGATCTTAAATTCTTCAGACCAGTAACCTTTTGGCAAATATTCTTTGCACGTAGATCATTTACAATGTGAACTTCACAAAATGCTAAGCAAGTTAAGATGTCACAAATGTATCTCATCTTTGTGGGCCCAAAACACAATTTCTTGAGATTGTACACAACAGATAGCTATTAAGCAAGGTACTTTTTTAAACGCTGAGGGGGTTGGGCAAGAAGTCAGAGTTCCTTGTCT